CTATCGGACGCATATAGTTCTATTACTCTGAGAGGTTCATCTTCCAAAATGTCAACGACAAAGATGCTGAGTAGATCACATTGGATTCTTTTCGCTTTCAAATTGTTTCTTCCTAAAATAATTACTCCTCCGTTAGAATTTTCAATCTTTTGATACAATATTTTATATTTAGAGAATATTTGATAGCAATGTGAAAGATCAGATCATTCTGTTTCTAAAAGGATTAAAATATCGACTTTGAAGAAATTAGATAAGAGTAAAACTTTCTAATATCGTAAATTGAAAACTCGAACATTAAAGCAAATAATATGAAAAAAGTTTACTATAGAAGAGGTATCTATGGTTCTATAGGACTATCAAATATTGAAACAATCACTTAGTAATGGAAAACTTTCTTATTCGTACAAGACCTTGCATAGTAGACGAAAGTCAAAATGTGAAAGATTTATATGTGCTCTGCCTAGAAACAACTCTCGTTCACGTTGAAATCTATGATCAATAGAAGAGAAAGGAGGGGTTGCGTCGGGTGAGAGTGCCATTAGAAGTCTTTACTTTGTCTTACATTGTTCAGCCGGATACGCATACGATTTATTCTAACTTTAATTTCATCATTTAATGTTCCCCACTATTTGTCGATGATAATGATTGATAATAACGTAGAATTTTCATCTAATATTGGAAATATGAATTTTATAAATATATTTTCATGGCGAGCATTTATATTGAATAAAGTCGGTCTTTAGGTTATTACCATTTGTAACCAGTGCATTTAATGTGTTTGACGTTGTGTCATAATCTTTTTTATTTATCATAAATTATTCATATTGATCGTTTCTACTGATAATTTCCCGACCCATTCCTCACCCTACCCATACCATAATTATTATTTGACATGTTCTGTTGTCACTTTTTAACCTCTTGAATATCGATGTGTTCAGATTGAAAACAAGCAGAACGTAAGAATTTTTTTTCCATTCTGCCATTTTGAGAAACAGTTGCGAAACGAATTGCTTATCAATACGACTGTATGAATCAACGTTTCATATACGATAAAAGATAACTATATACGGCTGATTCACGATGATAGAATGTAAGAGTGATTTTTCAATTTTTCTATAAGTTCGTAAAGAACAAAAGAATTATTGGTATCCAAGAGGTTAATGCATCTATTCAATAGTGAATATAAAATCGTAACGTAGTTTTTTGCGGACCGAATTTTACACACTGCGTCAACTTGAAACATTTATTGGTAGACTTTACGAATTCATATGAATAAAAATAATTGAGACCCCCGGCTACCATCTTTTTCGACTCATTCATGAAAATATGTTCGAAGAAAATCGCTTATTTAGAAAAGCAGGTATCATTTTATTCAAATGCCATTGGTTCAACTATGACGATGCAACGATTCCTGATTCAGGTAGTTGCTATACAATGAGTAATTATGTATGATTGAATCAATTATATGATAGACTTATATTTCTAGATATATTGTCTGTATTGCCACAGATATGACAGAACGGCTTTATTCAGATATTGAGACGAGCATTCCATATGAGCGCATAAAACTCATTTTAATTAGGGTATTTGTTGGTTTATTTAAATCTTCATCTCTCAAAACTTTTTCGTAATTTAATTCGTGCTGTTTTTTATGAATTTCGTTATAGGCAAAGACACAGTCGATACACCAACTCCTACTTGGAAATGTTGTTCATCACCATACAATCAAGCAAAATCAAAGCCGTGTTCAATAAATTTCGATGGCGAATGCTTGTTGATAACAATGACCGGAAGAGGAATGTGTGCCGACACACTTGTGTCATGTATGGAGTTGGTCCCATGCGAAAATGATCATAAAGCGTGTTCGGTATCCAATACTCAATGCGTCAATAGAACTCGGTGCAGCATTTCCGTTTGCTTTCCGATTGATTGTGCCTCTTCTGAACGATGTCCATCCTTGACTTCGGAAACTTTAATCATCTATAAAGGTCAGTTTTTTTAACTCAGATGCTAATAAATATTATAAAATCAATTTATAACCATGCTATCTTTTTCATGTTTGCGCTAAAGTTTCTTCTTTGTGTTACACTTGCTTTTATGGTAAAGTTATAAAATGACCTTGGTCCTATCGAACCATATAACTCTCTTAAGGAATGTGGTAATATGATTTATATTCCCGCTCAATTTAATGTTCAAAAGTCAAAAAAATGTCTGCTTGTGCTTAGCTACCATAGATTTTCGAGTTTAATCGCAGATTATCTTCAACTTCACCATTGTTAATATGAAAAGACGGCCCGTGGATGTTTGTAAACGAACCTGAGAATACAAAGAACTATCAAAAAAAAATCTTCCTGGTATATGAAGTTATTTTAGCAATTATTCGTCCATCTCTATACAATTACTTACTCTTCTTTGTCAATTCTAAACTAGACAAGCTAGAATGCTCTGCTTTTTTTTTCATCGTGTAGGGAATATGACGTAGTCAATATGTATGTCTTGCCGATCTGTTGTCTTGCTTTTTTTCTTTTTATATGAAAAATACTAAAAATCTGTACTTTTCTTTCAGAGAAAATTATTCGTTCAGTTTTAAAAAAGGAAATTAATTTTGTAATAAAAAAAGTAGTACTAGGAAAGACTCTTAATTAGTTTGTGTGATAGACTTGAAATGAATGTTCCTGAGTGAGAAAATTTAACTGGATAATGAACAAACACTCACTTGACTCAACACAGCTCTTATCCTTATTACTATGAATGCCCTAAGCCGTACAGTTCGACATACACCGTCTCAGGTACTTCTTTTGGTAAATGAAAACGCCTTATTTTGAAAAATACTGTTACTTGATCGAGATGCCTTGTGAAAACGAAAGAATAAGTGTGCTTGTTTGGATTATAATATGTTAGCTCTTCGTATCATTCTTGTTTAATCGAAGAAATAAACAGAATACAAGCTGAAGTTAACATAAGATCGCATTTATAAATTCCACCGAGACGACTTGTATCATTTTCCCGGGGGTGTAGAATTAACATATGCTCGTTTTAACATATCACGTTGTACTAAGTCTAATCTCACTTCTACTTTGGCATCTTCTAGCTGACATGTTTCTAATTTTGTATTGCGTGATCCTATGGCGTTGGAATTTTCTTCTGCTTTCGTTATGTATTAAAACACAATCAGAGTGTAGGTGTGGGGGGAGGGTGTCGAGCGTGGGTGTGGATGAGGATGCAGAGAACACCCCACATCCTACACTCCACACAGCCACACTCACCCACGCCCTCCTATCTTGAATTGTAGAGTTGAAGTCCGTCAATCTGCAATACATGTCACAATGAAAATTTTATTGGAACTACATTGCAATATTATACATTTTTGATAGAGATTCCCGAAAACCATTGATCAAGTAATGATTTCATCTGGCCTAATATTACATCAAAACATGTCCTAACTCAGCCTCTTTTGATTGGTGGAAACCGCAGATTTCTAGCTATTGTCATTCTCGAGATATTCGTCTTGCACCGACCCATACTTAATTCGGGCGTCGACAATAGTTTAAGCATGTTTTCGGCGGCATATCAAATTGTTTAAACATCGTTTTTCTCTTTTACTTCTCTGTCCGAGTATGGCTAAGTTGATAATGTTTATAAAAAAAATTTGAAATAAATCGTCTTGATGAGCTCGGAAGAACTCTTTTCATCAAAAAGAGTATCACGTCGAAAATTCCTATTGGTGACTTCATGCCAAAAGAATGTTAGGGTCATGTTGCTTGTGCAAAAGTCTGTATTGAGTAAAATTTTTGGGAATTGCGGCTTCTGTTAGTAGGGAGACATTCCAGCATTACGTGTAGACGTTACCAAAAACAACTAAGTTAAACTCGTAAAGTTCGTTTTTCAATCTTGCTACAATCGTTTGGTATCTGAGAAGAAGTAAGTTCTGTAGGTCTGAACATGTCGCCAATGTTCTATAAAATGATCCTGTACAAAATAAACCGAGAACTATTTCATATAAAACTTATAAAAAGTTTTCAAATGTGAACCCTTAGACTGCTGCATTGGTACAATTCTTTCTAGGACGGTCGAACACCAGTTGCATGAGGTTTTCAAGAAAATTTCACACAAAGCCCCTACTAACAGATGAAGAGGTCTTAATTGATGATTGGTCTAATTATAGTAGCTATTCGAATGGTGCAGAACTATACGATCCATCAACAGGACTTTGGGCAAAGACTGGCAACATGAGTAATGGACGATGCTATCACACAGTATCCGTACTAACTAATGGAAAAGTCTTAGTTGCAGGTGGATCTAATAATAATGGCTATTTTAATGGTGCAGAATTACATGTATGACCATTGCTAGGCTTCAATATTACTCATTAGACTCAAATTTGAAAGTTTTAGCCATTCTCCTGTTATTTACTCTTCACTCATTTGAGAAACTGTTACAATGTCGTCGTATTTCTACATGTTTACTATTCTCGTATCGTTTTCTTTTTCTTTCTCACATCTATATTTTGTCTTTCGTAACTTTGTCTCATCCAGCTCTGTATGTAAATGTTTGGTTCATTTTTGTATTCATTCTTTCTTCAATAAAGGTCGCGCGCATCCAACTTGCACTCATACATATACGGAAATCCTCAGTCACGGATAGCTCGTGGATTCTAGGTTATCGACTATGCTGATTTCGAATATGATTACAAGAAATCTCCTTAGGTCTTCATATGCTGGTTTTCTATAGTAGCAAACTTTTTTAATCTGTACAAATTATAGAGCATATCAATTTGTCTAGAAAATCGTAGCTTTTTCTATTTTAAATTGTTTTTTTTTGCAGAAAATACTGCCATTTTCATTNACAAACATACAACTGTTGCTATTTTTAGTCTACTTTGGAAAGTCATGTTCTTAAAAGTCAAACTTGCTCTGTAAAATATTTATTATCATACTGCCAGATATAGAATTTAGTTCTGAACAAACCTATATAACTGTCAAATTGAATCGTGAAAACATTTAAGGTGTTTCAATTTGAACATAACAACCACATAAGTCTACCAGAAAAAGAATTTTTTCAAATGCTGCCGCGTTTTTTACTTCGAATCTGTTTGTTCAAAATATTGAATCTTTATCAGGAAACTGTCATCAGTTTTTTTTTTGTTTTCTTGATCCTCACAGTTTGACGATAAAGTAGATATTCTCCTTCTATAGTTTTTTTTTTCAACAAAAGAAAGCTGTTTGAGAAATTAAGTCAACAGTTTTGTAGATCTTGAAATTGTCTATTGTTAAGCATAAGAGAGAATTTTTTTTATGATTAGAAAATGAGAAAAAAAATAAAACCTTTATGTTAGGGTTCTGACTATACTGACACATTAAGTTTTGAACTTTCTAAAGATTCTGAATTATCGGAATACTGTGCAGATTTTATTTTCCTTAAACCATTGTTGAAAACAAATTTTCCTATCGAAATTAAATCCATGTGATCTGTTTGTTGAAGCAACTGTATATGTTATAATTATTATTAATAATACCTGCACGATTGGCAACAGCTTCTGCTTCGATTAAATCTGTTCGTTTTGGTTTAGGTAATCGAACAGTTGTAGCGATAAGTCTATAAGAAATTTCAATTTGAAATAAAAATGAAAAACTTAATTTTATTTGTTCTTTTTTTTTTATTCTACTGTGAAAATTGATTGAGTATCACTGTCATATCAAGCATTTGTTCAACTCGACGACAAAATTCATCGAAATGTTGAAAAATTTTTTCATCTTGTGACATTAAAATTCCACTTGAATGTCTAATTTGATATCTTGAATGACTTTGATCTTGTGGATGAGCACTCCTATTTAGAAATATCCCAGTATTGTATTATAAAAATTAATCTTAAAAAAAACAAAAAAAAATTCTTTTTCGACTAACGTTGTTCCACTTAATGTTGATGATGATGCCGCTGAAAAAGCTGTAGCTGTTAACATTTGTGTACCACCAAGTGCATCTCGTAAAGCACGAAATATTTCCTTGTAAGATGATTGTAAAAGAAGACAATTTTTTAGACGTTGAAATGTACTTTCATTAATCGAATTTGTTTCTAATGGTATTGATCCTTTTGAAATTTCACGAAAACGTTTTACATCCTATTTGAAAATAAATACAAATAAATAGAATAAATATGTTCGTATTTTTCTTTTAAACATACTCGTTTATCAAGATGAAAATTTTCTTTAATATCATCAATTAATCCTCCATATAGAATTTCATCGAAAAGTTTTGGCCAAAGTTGTTTTAAATCATCACTAATATAATGTTTACAAATTTTAACTAATTGATTAGTAACCTTTGTAAAAATTAAGCCTAAATAACCTTGTCTAGCATAATATCTTGATACTGATTCAACAGTTCTCATAGCATCACATAAAGCAGGTAAAATATTAACAGCACAATTTTGTGGATGTGCATCTTCAGTTAAACTTTCTAAATAACGACGAATTGATTCAAGAAATTTTGTTTTATCACGACATTCATTTTGTGCTTCGGTTATACTATTCATTAAGACAAAAGAAATATTTATATTATTAATTTAAAAAAAAAACCTATATACTTACGAAACATCAATTGCTTTCCATTTTCGTATAACTTTTGATTTTGATGTAATTAATGCACCAATAACTGCTTTACATTCTTTAGATTTTAATTGTTCAAGTAAGTTATTAATTAAACGTTGTTTACGTGTCCATCGATCGATTTCACTTAATGGACCAAGTGATGGATGCATTGAACTATTACATTAAAAATAGAAAAAATTTGTTTCAAAGAAAAAAACAAAGAATTTTGTTTTATATACAACTTACTCTTCACCAAATATATCTTGAAGAACATTTTCAATTGTTGAAATCCATGATAAAACTAATGGTTCACAATTACGAATAACAGGACTATCAGCAGTTGATCGTGCAGTTTGTTTCAATTGACTTATCATTTCAGCATCAACTCGTTTTAATAGCTAAAATCAAAGTAAAATAATATTTATGACAAATATTTTTTTTTCATATGAATACTGTATGATTCTGAAATCGAATAAAATAAAAGAGAATGAGATGAAATTAGTTTCTAATGAGAATATGAATCTATGCAACTAAATATTTAGTTTTCATTTTGCAAAAGTATGTGTTAGACAAAAAGATTCCATGTAAAAGAATGTTTTGATTCTTATCGTATTAAATAATATCTGCATTTCTGTTAGTCTCATAGTAATATTAAATATATTGAATTGATTAAATTATTCAATAGAGATTAAACGAGCGGTTTAGTATATGTTTACGTTTGTAAAGTATATCAATTAATAGTATAAAGTGTTTGGTCAAATTTTTAAGAATAATTACTATTGTGATTCTTCAGTATCATCTTTGGAATAGATAGTTTAGATAAATAAGAACTATCTATAACCAATAATGGCTAATCAAGGGCTGGTCATCGTTTGTTAAAATCCTTTCATATGAATAAAAACAAGTTGATATTTATTATTGGTTTGGAATTATTTTAAGAAAACAAATTTAGACAAACTTGAGATAAACATATCAAGTTAATCAATTCTTGTCTCATGAAATCGAATAGATTTCATTTTATAAAAGTTTTGTTTCCTTGAACGAAAAACTAATTTTAAATAAAAATAAAACTTTATTTGTTACAGATATTGAACAGCAATGCAATTTTTAATGTAAAAAATTTTTGTTATCTGTTAGATTTATACATGTAGTCACATCTCGAAAAGCTTCAAATCATTAGATCGATCTATGTCTGCTGTACACACAAGTCGTAATGTCTGTGTGAAAGTCAGAACTTTTTCTTCTACCATGCTAGAAAAAAATATGCTATTGGTCAGGTTGAACTGCATCTTTTCATTTCTTCTCTCGACTTTCTACTCAAAGCAACTCTACATAGATTAGGTTTCCCTGGATTTACCTTGACTTCATTCTAATGACCATTCTAGAATCATAAGTATATTTGCACTTAAGAAATCTAATTGAACACTTTTGTTTTGTGCATATGAGGAATCATGAAGTTGACATTCATGAACGAATATCGGCTCTACACTTCCAGATTTAGTCAAAGACAAGAAAGAATTAAGAGAATGATTAAATTGAAAAGAACAATGACTACTATCAGTTCTCATTGCATGTCTAACTAAGTTTGTTCTTTTACATTTTGTAACACAAGAAATATAATTCTTGTTTCACTCTTAACATAAGAAAATTAAATTCAACTTCACCCACTTATATACACATACACAAATCATATTCATCTCACAGATATTTTTTCTAATCTTCCAACAATTAACAAATGAATTCTTCAATTCTTAATAAAAGATTCAATGCAATAATTTGACTTGACTCGATATTATTTGTGTCTTATGTCAAATAGTAGACTGTTTACTAAAATCATCTTTTCTGAAGACGCAGTATTATTGACATATTTTATATTTTAAATCTTAAAAAATTGCTTTGAAAGCTTAGTTTTAATATAATTTATAACTTTGCAGCTTTAGTGTGCATAGAACATTCGTTTAATACTTCATATAAAAACATCACTTCAATAAACTATTTGATGCTTACTAAATTCTTATCTTTTTGTAAAGAATGACATGTTGCACTAATTCCATCAATATGTCTTTCCATTTGAGTTGCAATAGCTGCTTTTGTAGTTGCTTGATTATGACTATCATTTGAATTAGGTATTAATTCTTTTTTAAATAATGGTAATAATGTTTGTGAATAAAGTAACGATGCCATTTGTGCTGCATGTTTTATTTCTCCACAATAAATATCCGATGCAGGTGATATAGTTGCATCTGAACTTGTATCCGAACGGATAAAATATAATAAAATAATATTATCCAATGGTTCATTAACGAGAGCATATTCATCAATAATAGTTTGACAACATGTGATATCTTTTGAAGCAAGACGATCACGTGTTGTATAAAAAAATAATTTATTCGAACCTTTTGCCAATAAAAAACTATTTATTTTATCAAGTACATCAGATCGACGAAAAAATGATTCCGTAAATGATGTATCAGCAGTTGAAGTTTTATCAATACCAAATGTTTGTTCAACTTTTGATGCAATCCACCAGTGTCGTTCATCCATATCTAAGCGAATAGCAAATGTAATTTTAAGTATTCAAAGAGAAAGAAAACTTTTTCGAACTTATACCATTTGCATTCTCTTAAAATTGAATTACTTAGCAACATCTTTTTTTGAGAAATAAACGAATTCAGGTGACATCTATAGAAATATTTTTTCTTGTTTTATTTAAATAGAAAATTTCTTTTATCAAAATTATATTTTAATAAAAAAAATTAAGAAAACAATTTAATTTCTAAGAAAAAATTTCAAACAAATATTTCTTTAGAAGTTTTTTTTTCTTTGCTAAGCAATTGTTATTCATGTACGACATTTGTTTCTATCTGCCTATTCGTTTGTTTATTTGTTTATTGATATAGCATTCTTATAAGAGAATTTTTTTTCTTTAAGATTCAAATAATCGTGTATTAAATCGATATAACTTAAAGAATGAGTTCGGAACGGTCCATATCACCTGATCCATTACCACGGTCTCGTTCTCGTTCAAGTGTTGTTCTTGTTGATGATAAAGGGAGTAATGGACATAATACTCGTCAACCTTCGTCATCAGTTACACAAAAACGTCGACGAGAAAATTCCAAGTAAAATAACAAAACAAAAAACAGATAATTTTCTTTAATTAAAAAAAAAATAATTTTTTAAATTAAGTCGTACACCTTCACCACGTTCGGCAACATCTCGATCACGTAGTCGTAGTTCAATAGAAGGTTCAAAATCACCTGATGCTCGTAAGAATGTAAATTACAATAGTAATCATCGTTCACCATCACCTGTTCGTCAATCAAATCCATCATCAAAACGACGTCGCCGTCGTGGTAGTGATGCTGATTCAGGTCGACATATTTGTGCCATTTGTTCATGTGATGTCGAAGCAGCTAAACGTTTATATGGCGTACTTGATAATTGCGATCATGTTTTGTATGTTCATAAGATTAAATAAATTCATAATAAAATATTTTATTTTGTTTTTTTAGCTGTTATGAATGTATTGTTTCATGGAAACGTTCAAAATATAGTAATGCTGAATCGGAAAGGTGATTAAAAAAAAAACAAAAATAAAATATAAAACTATTTTTTTGTTTTTTAGTTGTCCCGTATGTAAAGTTCGTTCAGCATTTATAACACCGAGTAAACAATGGTTTGACAATAAAGAAGACAAAAATCGTCTTGTTAAAAAACATAAAAATCATTTAAAGTAAGTTATTTGATTTTTTACAAAACTTATTAAGAAAGAAAAGATAATCTCAATTGATAAATACTATTAGGGAAATTTTTCTCATATATCGATAGTTATCATCACTGTATCATTCTTCTAGACTTATGTTTTTATTCGTCAATCGAGTTCTTCCTCAGATTAAGCCCATTGTTCTTAAACAGACTTATTTTACTTAATATTAATTATCACTTAAACGAGTATCATCATTACTCTGGCTGTTTGTTAGAATTAATATCCAATTAATTTTGGCAGATCAAACAAAATATTTTACATATATATAATACATATATTACTTTTTTACATCAAAATATTTTCAAAATGTATGTATAGATGTGCTGTGTTTTCTATCATACCAGTGTTAGTCTTAAACGTTTGTATAATTCGATTGTTTTCATCATATTTTCTTTTTCAATGAGTTAATTAATTATTTCTAATTTTTTTCTTAATCTTAAGGACATTACCTTGTCGGTATTATCTTCGTCATGGTTTTTGTCGTTATTCGGATCGATGTTTTTATGATCATTATGAAGCAGCTAAACAATATAAACAACAACATCAACATTCAAGAGAACGTGATCGGGATCGAGATCGTGAACGTGATCGAGATCGCGAACGTGATCGTGATCATCAAAGTAGTAGTCATCATAGTTCACATAATGGAAGTCGTTCTTATTATCAATCACCATCACCACCACCATCGTCTTCAAGTCGATATTCATCGTCACGCTATCGTGAACGTGCTTATTAAACTATGATCCATAATTATTAGAAGGAAGAATAAACAGGAAAACAAAAAAAAAATATCTTTGTATAATTCTTTGATTAAAATCATTTACGACAAAGAATTCTTCTTTCCAAAAACAAAATCTATTGCTCTGCTTTTTTTTCTCTGTTTACTTTTTTCTGTTTCTGTTAAAAGTATATATATATATACATATATACATACATATATATATATATATATATACATAACAATATGTCTATTAGAGATTTTCCTTTTGCTGTTGTTAACTTTTTTCATTCGTCTAATGTCTTTTGTCCGAATAATCATCATTGATTATTTCGAATCTCGTAGTTCGATAACACATATACATACCTAAACTAGCCAGAAAATCCAAAAAAAAATACATTCATAGTCTTGTTTGTTGTTCGTCTTTAAGATAAAGTCGTAGATATGACTTCCAGTGATTTAACAAAGTCATTTGCATCAGTTGCTGCTAATGCTGGCAACGCCAAAGGAACATCAGGTAGTGGTCAAATGAATGATGCTGGTTTTAAAACACGACAACGACCTGATGCTATTCGAAATTCGAATATTGTAGCTGCTAAAGGTAATAATAAAACATATTATTAGAAAATTATATTTAAAAAGACAACTTTCGCGATTAATTGTAGCCGTCGCTGATGCTGTACGAACAAGCTTAGGACCACGTGGTATGGATAAAATGATTCAAACAGGTAATGGTGAAGTAACAATTACAAATGATGGCGCTACTATTCTTAAACAAATGTCTGTTATTCATCCTGCTGCAAAAATGGTTCGTTTTCTTTTTTGAAGAAAATTCTTCATTTAATAACTTGGTTTTGAATAATCTTCTTTTTCAGTTGGTTGAACTATCTAAAGCTCAAGATATTGAAGCAGGTGATGGTACAACAACAGTTGTTGTTATTGCTGGTAGTCTACTTGATGCAGCTAGTCGTCTTGTTGCTAAAGGTAAATCAAACTTTAATACGAGGGAATAGCTCTGAAAAAACAAGAAAATTTTTATTTGATATGACTAATGTTAGAAATATTTTCTCAAGTGAAATATTGAGTCGTATTAATGTGTGTATATGAAACAATAGAAGAATAATAGGTGATTGGAAAGTTTTTAGACAAAAATCTTTACTCATTTGTGGCCCTCTAGAAAGTATTTCCGACGAGTCGAAAGCTATAAGTTATGATACTCTTTTCAAATATTGACTTAGAAAATTTGGATGGATAATTTTTCCGCAAATTTTTGTATTTTCTCTAATGTGATTAGAAATTAAAAGTTGGAATCTTTATTTATATATTTGTTTGTAGATCAGAAACGACCCTGCAAAATGTACTATTTTATTGTCTTTCGACAAGATGTCTCAATTTTCGGTGTTTTGTAAATACTCATTTTTGAAACATCGATAATCGTTTTACATTGAAAGGAGCTCTTAGAAAAATGCTTTTAGCTTTACTAAGGTAAAAGCTATAGCTTAGGTTAATGTCACATGCTGTAGAAAATTATTCGATCTAGAAAACGACGGACTTCAATCATTTGTAGCATATTTAGAAAAGGACTTCACAAAAATCTGTTGGCTCATTCTTAAAAATAACTTTTTAAACTTTTCAAAAAATTCTTCAGCAATCTTGAACAAAAATATACACAATAGTTCTAACGAGGGAAGGTCCCCAAGTGATTCATCGCTTTTGGCTCCATATTTTGCCCATAATTAGGGGTCTTGGAGACTAGAAAAAGCCTAAGAGGATATGGGCCCATATTGCAATCCGGCTGAGATACTCAAATTTTACCCAAAATTCCCTGTGCAACTTTGATTTTCTAGCAAAATCATATTTTCGAATTTTGAGCTGAAACTTTGCCCACATAAAGTCTTCAATTGGACTAGCTTGTAAAAAAAATTTCAGTACTTTTGGACATATTATTACTGAGATATGAATTTTTCAAAGTATTCATGTTTTATAGAATATCAATCGAAAAGCGCCTGTGTTTTGGAAAATTCATATCTCAGTAATACTATGTCCAAAAGTACTGATATTTTTTTTACAAGCTAGTCTAATTGAGGGCTTTATTATCTGGGCAAAGTTTCAGCTCAAAATTCGAAAATATGATTTTGCTCAAAAAACCAAGGTCCTACAGGGAATTTTGGGTAAAACTTGAGTATCTCAGTCAAATCGCAATATGGACCCATATCCTCTTAGAATTTTTCTAGTCTACAAGACCTCTACTTATGGGCAAAATATGAAGCCAAAAGCGGTGAATCACTTGGGACCTTCCCTCGTAAGTCCATATTCGAAAAGAGCATCCTAACTCATTGTTTTTTGATTCGTTGGAAATACTTTCCACCAGGTCACAAATGAACGAACGAACATCTTGTCTAAAAACTATCCAATCTTCCGTTATATAAAACTAGTAGATTATGATTTAGATGTTATAAGTCGTTTAAATTTATTCATTTAAATTTATTAAATATAGGTATTCATCCGACGACAATTGCTGAAGCATTTGAAAAAGCAGCTGATAAAGCAACGGAAATTCTTAAAAGTATTAGTATACCTATAGAACTTAGTGACAGGGAATCCTTACATCGAAGTGCTGCAACTGCGTTAAATTCAAAAGTAAGTAAAAGAAAAACACAGTAATTTTAAAAATATTATTAATATATCTTAAGGTTGTTTCTCAACATACTCATCTTCTTTCTCCGATTGCTGTTCAAGCTGTGCTTAAAGTTATTGATCCAGCAGTTGATACAAATGTTGACTTACGAGATATTCGTATTGTTAAAAAACTTGGGTAAAATAATATTATGATATTAAAAAATTTGTAAGAGTAGTGCTTTTGTTTTTTAGTGGCACAATTGAAGATACTGAACTTGTTGATGGTCTTGTTCTTGATCAAAAAACAATTGGTTTTGGAGCACCAACACGTATAGAAAAAGCTAAAATAGCTTTAGTTCAATTTTGTATTTCACCACCAAAAACTGATGTATATTATCAATAATATTTTCTTTTTTTAATTAAATTAATTAATTTTCGTTTTTGTTTTCATCTATAATTAAGATGGAAAATACAATAATTATTAGTGATCATGCTCAAATGGATCGTGTTATTAAAGAAGAACGTCAATATATATTAAATATAATAAAACACATTAAAAAAACAAATTGCAATGTATTACTTATACAAAAATCAATTTTACGTGATGCTATTAGTGATTTAGCTATACATTATTTAGCAAAAATGAAAATATTAATTGTTAAAGATGTTGAACGAGAAGATGTACCATTTATTGCTAAAGTATATTTTAATTCTTTTATATTTATATACAAAAACTAATATTAATTTTTTTTTCAGACACTTGGTTGTAAACCTATTGCAAGTTTAGATCATTTTCAACAAGATATGTTAGGTACAGCTGAACTTGTTGAAGAAATTACGGCTGGTTCGGATAAAATTGTTAAGGTATTTAAAAGAAAACATTCATATATGTTTAATATTTTATTTTTGATAATCTGAAGAATAACATATTGCAATACACGCAAAAAGATCTATTAAAATGTTTGACAAAGTTTACTATGTTCTATTCAAATGTTTATTCCTTTTGTCATAGACAAAGATATTAACTTACATTTTTCTATGTTATTTCTGATGATGAAAGAAAAAAGAATCTTTTATTTTCTGTTAGAGCCAAATTTCTTTCTAAGAATCCTTTCATTTATTAGAAATTATATTTCCGAACTTGAATATGGATATAAACAAATATTGATGAATTAAATTGAGGAAGGAATGTATTCAACTGATTAATCGTTTTCTCACTGAGAGCTAGTGGATTGTTGGCTATCGACTATGCTGATTTCGAATATGATCATTAGAAATCTCATCAAATAATCATATGTTGATTTTCTAGACTAACAAACATTTCGCCAAAATGTCTGTCAATCTATAAAACCAGTAGATAAAGATCTAAGAGAATTCCTTGTGGCCATTTTTGGAATCAGCATGATCGATAGCTTATAACTAATAGCTTTGGGCGAGAAATCAATTTATCAGCTAAAAATATTTCTTTGTGAGGTTATTGAAAATTAGTTTGAACCAAAAGAAACAAGATAGTAATTATGAAAATAACTACTAAATTGCTATTATTGTACAGTGCTTTGATCCTAAAATAATATTTTTTTTTCTCAAAATATTTCTATAACAATGATGACTGATATACAAAGTACTTGTACTAAATATCTAGGTATATTTGATGCTAGAATCAGTTTTTGATGTATTATTATTATTCAAAAGGTATAAGTAATGTCAAAAAAGAGAATTCATTAAAATTACTTTTAGAAATATTTTTCATGTTTTATTCGCATTGTCCCATAAGAGGTAATGATTAGGAAAAGATCCACAAATTGAATTTCTTAAAAAATAAATAAATTGGATATCTATATGTTTATATCTACTCTGCATGCATATTCATTCGTCACGTGCTACAATAGATCAAAAGTTTTGCTTATCTTATGGAGCAGTTCACATAGTATAATTATAAATTATTTAATCTATTATGTTGGTTCTACCGTTTCGCTATTACTAAAGAAAAAGGTGCGAGAACAATTTTTTTTCTATTAATGGCGACGCAGAAAATGCCAGAAACATAAGAGTGATATGTTTCCACATGAAAGTTACTGCTAATAATTAGACGACTATGATTTTTATTCTATCTCTAATGATTTTGTAACTAATTTAAAAGTTTTTGTAATTTTAACATGACTTCTAATCTTTGAACAATAATACATAAGAAAGTGAAATTCTAAAATATAGAATAGATCTTGATATTTTGTACAAGAATTGTGAATATGAGCTTTGCATCAGTGTTGAAAAATATGACAAAAGACTATGGCTCTAAAAAATAATAAATAATTAAATAAGCTCTTTCATAAAATCTTATTTGTAGGTGTTCGTCTTATTCAGTATAAAAGTTGTGACTTATAATAAAAAAAAAACAATAAGAATGTTATCTATAATTAGAAAGTTATTAGAAAATACTGACAAAGAAAAGCTGTCATTAAAGCATCACTTGTAATTATATTTATTCTACTAGATCACGGGCGTTGCTCATCCAGGTCATACAGTATCAATTTTATTACGTGGTTCAAATAAATTAGTACTCGAAGAAGCTGATCGATCAATTCATGATGCTCTTTGTGTTATTCGATGTCTTGTTAAAGAACGGTTTGTATAACAAAAGAAAAAGAAAAATCATCTATTATTATTTTTATGCAGGGCTTTAATTGCTGGCGGGGCTGCGCCTGAAATTGAATTAGCTGTTCGTTTGGCTGAATATGCTCAAAGTTTATCAGGTGTTCATCAATATTGTATACGAGCATTTGCTGAAGCACTGGAAGTTATTCCGTATACATTAGCTGAAAATGCTGGTTTAAATCCTATAGCAACTGTAACTGAATTAAGAAATCGTCATGCTCAAAATGATACAAATGCTGGCATCAATGTTCGAAAAGTATATTTTCTGTTTTTTTTTTTTCTAAAAATGATTTTATGATTTACTTTTAGGGTCTTATCTCAAATATTCTTGAAGAAAATGTCGTTCAACCATTACTTGTTTCTGTTAGTGCTATTCGTTTAGCTACTGAAACTGTTCGATCAATTTTAAAAATCGATGATATAGTAAGTTAATTGAATTTAATTATCGTCATTAGATTTATTTTTTTTTTATTTAATTTTAGATCGAAACAATGTAATCAAAAGAAAAAAGATAAGGCATTGATTCTCAACATAAGTTTTTGCATGTGTGGTTTGTTCTGTAGGAAATGTTTTTTTTTTCTCTTCTCTTATTGTTGTTTGTTGTTACTACTACTACTACTACTACTACTTATTGTTGTTATTGCCATTATAGCTTCTTTTCTTTTTTTTAAATACCCGTGCTTACATAAAAACAAAAACCTAAGCAAAAAACAAGACGAATGATTGCTATATGAACAAGACCAGTTTTTCTTTTTTTTATTACGAATAAACTTTTGCACCGCATATCCGTGATTATTTTATAATATAAAATTCGTCGAACATAATAACCGACATACTGTTATAATTATTTTTGAGTTTATCGTGTTCTTCTTTCTACATAAGATTATGTCACGTTAAGATAGTTCGATTATAAAAAACACATTACAGTGCTTTTTTGTTAGATAGAGTCGCATTTAGTAAAGAAGTTTTAAAAAATTTTGCACTATTCTAGTATGAATGTAAACCGTAATTATTTTCTTGGATGTAAAGATAAAAATAGCAAACAAATTATTGAATAATTAATTTGAGACTTATTCAAAATGCGTACTGTGGTGATTATTTCCGTTCAGCATTAGATTTCCTTGACCGACTTGCTGAAATAATTAAGAAAAAAGTAGATGCAAATTTTGACACTAAAAAGAATAATCTCACATGACTTGTTTTTTTTTATTGAGCTAAGAAAAGAAGTAAATCAAAGAAGATTTTTTTTTTTCATTAATATAATATTACAATAAATGTATATGACAAAACAAACAAAAAAAGAGAATGTTTTTTGTTTAATGCAATAATGTACCTGGCCATGGACAGATCGCCTAAGGCTCGAAATTTTACTTCTCACGGATGTTTTGAAGCGATGATAATTACTAAATATACGGAAAAGTTATTGCACACGAAACTTTTTGAAAATAATAATAATCGTTGCTCACAGCTCAAAATTTCTTAACAACACAACATCACTGATTTAATCACCGCAATAAACACCACCGTCGTCAATAAGGGTTGTTGATTGGCGAGTTGGATATGTTGTTATTTGAAATGTTACTTTATCTGTTGGCGAATAATTTAATTTGTTATTAAAAAAACTTTGTCGAGATTTCGATGATTCAAGAATAATAGGTGAATGTACAATATTTTTTGTATTATTTTTGATACTTCGTGATGATGTTGATGAAATAGAATAATGATTTTGATCATTTGAATGATTAAAACAAAATGATAATGTTCGACATTCTGAAGGTATATCATCCATAGCAACACTATGTTTTACTTTTTTCATTGCCATTTCATGTTGTGTTTTGAATAGAAAGAATTTTCGTCCTTTGTGTTTTGGTTTACGTTCAAATGATTGAATATTTTCATCAGGTTTATTATTTTGATGATTTGATCCACGAAAATGAAAACAATTGAGAACAAGTAAATATTCTTCACGGAATGATTCAGATAGAAAAACATATAATACTGGATTAAGACAATTATTAGCATAACCAATTATTGTTGTTAAATGTGTTAATTCTTTAAGAAAACGCATATTTCTATTGGTTGGCAATATTGAAATATTTAATCGTAATGATTGAATCAATGGATCGATTGTTATAAATATTTGTAAAAACCAATATGGTACCCAACAAATAAAATATGCAGTTATAACAGCCAGAACAACACGTGTGACTTTTCGATGTGAGCGTTCCTTTAACTCAGATCGATGTTTACGACGTATATGATGAAGACGTATAAGAACAAGAACATAAAATGTTGTAATCATGGATACAGGAAAAAGAAAACCAAGTAAAAATGCATAATAAGTAAAAACAATTTCAGGAGGAATCGTAAATATAATCGCTGGAAAATCGATAACACATCTATTGATAAGAAAATCATATTCATCCATTATTAAATTTTCTTTCTCAAAAAATTATATAACTAAATTAAGTGATTATCTAGATAAAACCAAAGTTTAATTTAGCTTCGTATAAATAGAATATCTCATGTTATTGAAGTATAAAAAGTTAATACGATATAAATTGTTTATTTAATATTTTCGACATCATTCAAGATTTAGATTTTCACTAAAGGAGCTCATTTCTCAGATCAAATTAATAGAATATTTGTGATACTTTCTTCATTATCCATAATTGCTGCTTAGTCGAATTTAATTTGTATTAAAATGATCCGATTACATGAAATTTCGTAAAAATGAATTTTCACTTTGGCAAATCAATAAAATGTTCCATGGTATATTATATTTATCGTTAAAAGTCAGTTTTGCAAAACATTTATATGTAACATATCCTTCGTTATGAAAAACATACTTTAAAATGCATGGCTTTCTTCTAAATATTAGCTGATCCACCCATAGACCATTTAGTAATAGCTTACCGACTTTTTGAGAGAATGATAATTACTAGATGTTCTCAAAGTTTTAGTTGCCGAGTTTTTGGATAATAGTGATAATTGTCTATAGCAGCTTATTTCTTAATACAGTTTGACTAGTAAAATTGCTGACAACTGAAAAATTTCTAACTACGTCATTGATTATAACTAGTCATAGAGTTTAACTACTTTTGAAATATTAATGTGTAATCAAACATATAATCTAAGTAGTCTATTATATATGGATTTAATACCAATGTTGATGATATGGATACCTTATATTTAGTATCCATAATGCGTCTCGTATCATTATGAAAAGTATTAAGAAGATATGTGATAAATAGAAACCATTGACATTATGAGAAAGCTTTCAAATCAAGCAAATAATTCCTTTATCAGATTGATTGTAGGGTATCAATATTTCAAACTCCCGGTGAATTCTTTTTTTTATCTTCCTTTTAACGCATGGTTTAATACTGCGTTAGCTCATGTTTGTGAAAACTTTTTTTGATATCGCAAGAAACAAAATCAAAAACTTGGAAGTTGCCGTTTTTTCCAAGAACTAAATTTTTGTTGAAATGTTCAATAATTATTGTTGCAAGCAAATTTCTGAAAATGCGTTTTTCAAATTTAGCACTTAAAATTGAATGTAAGCAAGATATTAAATCGATCTTCATTTAAACAAGCCTTGTGGTGATGATGCCTCGAATTATACCTATGAGAAGGCAAATAGGTCATAGTAACCCAACGATTCATTTATTCTAATTGAACGAATAAATCTAATATATTTTTTCTCATTCTGCTCATCATGCCACAAGTAAAACAAAGTATTGATAGCTTGTTTTTTCTATATGGTGTCGTTGCTGAGAAAAATTTTTTCTTTTCTAAACTTTCAAGCGAATAGCCAAAACCCATGCTCGGTATTTTGTGTTTTTCCTCATAAATGTTAAATTTCTAGTCCATAAAAATCTATTCATAATAAGAATAAAAATGAGTAGATTCAAGCACTTTATAATGATTTCCGATGAGTTCCAGGTTTTGTCGAGTTTTCATCTTAGAAGCTTCAATGCCTGAAATTTCCATGAAAAAATAATAAGTGACGAAGCATACGTCAATGAACTCATTTTCTACTTTTATTATGAATAGGACTTCATTGCATACTAATGTAATTCTTATGGAGAAGATTAAACATTTTGAGCATGGCTTTTTGACTAATCGCTTTATAATTAAGAAAAAAAGGTGTTTTGTCAGGAACAGACGACAAATACTTGCTTGTTTTGTAACATGATAAATCGAATGATATAAAACATTAGACTTGTTTAATCAGAAAAATTAGATAAGTTATAAATATGTCCTGTCCACATCACTATAGGTTCATTTTCAAGGCACTCACATATATAATTTTGTTCGAATTAAAGTCGATTGAAGATTTTGTTTACATTCAGTTTTGAAGGCTGAACTTCGAAAACAAATTTCTAGAAGTTTGTGATAAGACCCAACAATAAACTTAGAACATTTCGTTAAAGATATACTTCTTGAGAAAAACGACAAATTTTGTCTTTTTGATTTGATCTAAAAAGGCTGTTCATAAATGATAAAAAGCAGTTTTTTCTAGATAGTAGCTAACGTTCTATTAAACTCCGCATAAAAATGAACAAAAAAGAAATCATTTAAAGTTCGAGTTATTAAGTCATGATTTCAGTTGCTCTTATTAATAATATTAATATTTATATTAGGTAATTCTTCTCTCATTATAATATTTAAAAATAAACTCGACGCAATTAACAATAATGAAACTACTTATGACATATGTTTACTGTTAAATTTGATAAATAGTTTATGCTCAAACCACAGGTCATAGTTAATTCAGATATAAATCTTTGATGATCCGTAAAATATTTTGTTGTCTAATTGTTTTTCACTAGAATCTTGCGTGAAATTTTTCGCATTTGTTAATAAATATTTTTAAAACATAAAAGACCTTGATATACTAGAAAAATTGACAAAAAAAAGCACTCTTATCTGACTATTACTAATTATATTCCGGAACATTTATTGCTCTCCTTCCTTTATTTCAAATGATACTTTTAAATTATTTATTTTGTGAACATTAAGTCGTGCAAAAACTCTTTCATTTGAATGCATTCATTACATTTTCAATGTGAAAATAAATGTGTTTGTTAGCAACATAATTTGAAAAAAACATCAATTATGTTTGCTTATCTAACATGAATTCTATTATAGTTCGTTGTGCATTTAGAAGCCTATCTGTACCATTCCTGTACGTTGTTTTATTCTCACGAGGCTCTGCATTGAGGCGATTGAATGGAAATGATGAATAGGCTTATTTTTGTCTAATTGAATTAATGTGATTGCATTAATAGAAAATGTAACAAGCAGAAATACAGCAATCATTAATAAAAATAAGCAAACATGTTCTTACTTCTGTACTTGATATCCATACCAAACAATATATCTTTCGGATGTGACAGTTGCAAATACCCATGTTGGACAAAGAAAAAGAACAGAAATAAGCCAACATCCTGAATTATAAAATATTGATTAATAGAAAACATCTGCTCTTTTTTTGTAAAAGAAAAACAAAAGAAAGTAAAAACAAACCTGCTATAATCAAGACACATTTTGTTCTTGTTCGAAATTCAATAGCTTGAATTGGACGACATACAGCAAGATATCGATCGAATGATAAAGCAGCCAATAATAATGAACTTACATATTGATTAATATGAATAAAATTATAATACATTTTACATAATACTTGTCCAAATATCCATCCATTAGCAAGAATTGTAACGATAAGAAATGGTATACTTAAAAGAAGAAGAAAATCAGCTACAGCTATATTGAGTAAATAAGTATTGGTCACAGTACGAAGACGATATGAACGAAGAATACTTATAAATACCAAACCATTTCCAAATGTTCCAATAAGAAAAAGTATTGCATAAAAAGGAACAAAATAATATGTTATTGGATATTTTCTTAATAAAACTGTAACTCCAGAAACTGTTGTATTACTTGTCATATCAATGTTATTGTCAAACATGTTTATATTTGTTTAATCTCTTCGTTATAATAAATAATCTATTCTCAGCATAAAAAATGAGAAGAATACAATTAAAACGGAAAAAAGAAGATGATAAGAAAAATAGAAAAATCTCAAGAAAGAAAGAGACAAACTATTTTCTTCTCTAGTTATTTTACCAGGAACCAAGGACAATGCTGCCAAAAGAAAATCTCTGACGCGAAAAAAAAGAGGAAAAAAGTAAGTGTAGTCCTTATTGTTGTCATTCCTGAAATGTTTTGCGTTTGTCATATATATTCAACGAGTTATTCTTACCGTCAAGTCAACAACATCCTTTTGCTTGTTCTTGCTTGACAACTAATCTCTATCAACACTTCTTTCTACTTTGTAGATTCTAGCTCATCAACAGATGCATATAATATCTTTCAGTGACTTTTATTTTCTATGGTAAAAGAAATTAACTCAAAAGCATGATAATAAAAGTACAGAAAAACCGTTTAACGTTCTTTTTTTAGCATGCGGAGATATTCGCATACATATAGCTCCTCAATAATCATTTGATTATGATCAAATAACATACAGTCAATTTTCCTAATTCTCTCGAGGAAAAAACCTTTTATGTATTCCATTTATAACTCGAGTCGCATGCATTGTAGAGAATCGCCTTTTATTTTCCGGAAAACAGCAAACATTTCTACGTCGTCCGTCACAATATTTCTTTCGAAAAAAAATTTAATTATGCACTTATGAGAATTGGGACAGTATGAAATGAATCACATTTGATTGATTTTTATTATATTCCGAAATCTATCGATTAGATATAGAATAGTGTTTCTTTTCAAAAAGAAGTCTATTATTCGGACGAAACCAATCGAATGTAAAGATTAAAATGGTCGTCCGTTTCATTCTGATGCAAGGCATCTCTTATCATTCTAAAAAAAAAACAAAATATAGCATCATGCTTTTTATTTCTCTTTTATTATCTGAGAAAAGTCGTCGACACAACTGTTTCCGTGCCTAATATTATGAAAGTCATATGAATTCTGTAGAGCTATTAAAGATAGATTTGAGAAACCTACATCAAATATCTCATATTATGATTATTTGAAAATCATCTAAGTATTTATGCAAGCGCTTCATACTCATAAGTAAAGAACACTAATGAGTTTTGTTTGACCTTTAATGTAACTATGTCAATTATGATAGTTCTGTTTACTTAATCAAAAAACAGCGGAAGTAAGTATACTTAAGTCAACATCCTGACAACATATCATTCAACAGTGCTGCAATCTAATCCGAGACGATTTTGGACGAAGTTTTTCATAGTTAATTTTTCGGCTACTTGCACATCTATTCTTCTGTAAATTGTATTAATTCAAACGTAATACAAATATCATTTTAGACTCAAATTGAATAAAATAATGCAAATGAAAGAAACAAATACAATAAGATTTCATTCTAGGAGATGATAACCTTTCATAGACAAGAAAAAGTTGTTTTTGTTTTTCCGACAATTGCTGTTTTTCTTCTTATTGTATTATATTAGATTCATTTATACATGATTGCATAGTTAATAGAGTTAACTACACATACGTGTATAAGTGCATATTGGATTTTATTTATGCGCCATGTTTATTATAAATGGAAAGGAAGAAGACACATAACATATATAACATG